TATATATATATATATATATATATATATATATATATATATATATATATATATATATATGGATGCTAAAAACAAAAAATATAAAATCTTATTCGATTATTTTGGTTAAACCAAATGGTGAAAAATAGAACCAAAACAAATAAGATTTTAGATTATTGATTAAACTAAACATCGTGTAAAAAACAAATAAAGACCAACCGAATAAATTGAACCATATTCGAACTGGACAATTTATTTGTTTTTTTTTCAACACCCCTGGCAATAACAAATCAAATGAATTGTGTAATAGATACAAGTCATACAACTTTGAAACTTAGATGACATTAGAACACACAAAATATTAAGATGACTAAATGAATATAAAAACAATGAAAAAATGTTGAAACTTTATGGCAAACTAATGAAAGTTTTGTCCATTAATCTTGGATTAAAGAAGATTGTCCTGAAAAATGCAGTTGGGGAGGACCAAATTGGAGCTTCCTTAAGGTTTAATTTTTACCCAAAGTGTCCTCAGCCCGTCCTTGCTTTAGGCCTCTCACCGCATTCTGATGATCCTTGTACTCTCACCATCCTATGACAATGCATTCTGATGATCCTGGTACTTTCACCATTTTATTGTCAGACGATCGTGTTTCCGGCCTTCAAATCCGTAAAAATGATGGTTGGGTCACGATTAAGCCAATCCTTAATGCTTTCATTGTTGGCCTTTTTCTACAACCCATGTGGTGACATGGTGATTGAACCGGAATTATGAATGATGGCCCCACACAATATCAACCAATGATGAATATTGTAATTTTATTAGGACGAAAGGTCTTCATGAAAATCACAAGTTGAATCTCTAAAGTTACTTGGATAATTTTGTGTATTTTTGTAGATGTATGTCATTATCATTGTGAAAATTTGATGTTAAATATGTATTTGAATTTTCGAGTTTATTGATGAGTTGTCAATTTTTGACATATATTTAATCATCTCATTAGAACCGAAAGAAAAATAGATTTGTTCGACAATACAAAAATGGATCGTGATGTTACTATAATACTTGTGGTTTATGTTCCTACAGGTATATTTCTGATTCACTTTTGCATCATGTTTCATTATGTTCGGTAGGAGGACCATTCATGAAATTTTGCAAACCACAGGGACTAGTGGCATGACGTTTTCCATGAAAGTCCTCAAAATGAGATTTTTTAAACTACAGAGACCGATTATAAAATTGTCTATATATAAATAGCAAAACGTTTGTTCTTTTATCATAAAGAGAGTGGTATCATGACCAATTATGAAATTTTGTCTATATATAAATAGCAAAACGTTTGTTCTTCTATCATGAAGAGAGTGGTATATTGCATATTTTAATAAAGACAAAATTACAAAAATGGTCCCTGTGATTTGTCAATTTCTTTAGGTAAGGTCCAAAAAAAGTTTATTAGCAAAAAAAAATGTCCCTATTTGGTGGTTTTGTTGTGGTTTTGGTCCATTCTTCGTTAAGTTTAACAGCTTGTCTATTAAGTTTTGGCAAATGACGGATTTACCCCTAGGGACCATTTCTGCAGTTTGATCTTTTTACCAAACTACAAGGACCAATTATGCAATTTTTCTTTTTCATTTTATTGAATTATTGTATATTAATTTTATTTTTTTTGACAAAATTGCAAGAATAGTCCCTATGGTTAGGTCGAAATTGCCACTTTGGGCCAAACAGGTTTGGACTAGCACTCATGGTCCAAAAGTTTTCATTTTCTTGCCACTTTGGTCCAATTTACTTTAAATTTTTTAATAATGACCATTTTGCCCTTTGTTTTTACTTTTTCAGTTTTTTTTATTTATTCAAATACTTTTATAATTAAAAGAAAAATAAAAAATAAAAACTCTCTCTCTCTCTCTCTCTCCCTCTCTCTCTCTCAAAATGGAAACTTTTGTTTTAATACCAAGAACTCAATCCACCACCATCATCTTCTTCAAAACCCAACTCCATCCTTTTCCTTTCTCACCCATCAGTCCTCTCCCCTAGCCCAAACATCTTCGTCGAGCTCCACCATCCACGAGACCAGAGCGCCGGGAAAAACAGACCGGTGGTTTGATTACCACCAACATCTTCGACCTCAGATACACCGGAAAATCCAAGTTTCAAGCCCATTTTTGTGTTGTGGTTTGTATCGGTCTTTTATGTCGGCTTTCCTCCAGTTCAGATCTTCAATACATTGTGTGTGTGTGTGTTTGCTCTGGTATGTGTGACTCTCCATTTCAGATCTTCAAAATTAGTACCATCTCTATACGAGTATTGTTCATCGTCTTCTCTACCTTCTTATCTCCTTTTGTAATCAATATCTTCTGCTTCGTGG